TATCTTATTTTTTTTTTCTCTTGATTCAACTTGTTCATCTTTTTTCCCTAAATACAAATACTAAGCATGCTTAGTGTTGTACCTACTTGCCAAACCTCATAGTTGACCACCATGCCCCTTCCCAAAACCCTCCTCCAATACTCCTACCTCACCTTCCACCTCCTCTCGGCCGCCGAGCCCGGGCCCGTTTCCTACGAAATCAACCCCTACATCAAAGTCTTCAAAAACGGCACCGTACAAAGACTATCGGGCACAACAACCATGCCCGCCTCGTACGACAACAAAACCCAAGTCCATTCCATAGACATACACATCCCCCAAGCCCAAACCCAAGCCCAAGAGCCCAATAACATCACGGCCCGACTCTACCGGCCCGCCAACTCCACCGCCAAGCACAAACTCCCGCTCGTCGTCTATTTCCACGGGGGCGCGTTCCTCACGGGTTCCGCTTTCTCTCCCTCATACCACGAATACCTCAACTCCCTCGTCGCAAAAGCCAACGCCTTAGCCATATCCTTGAATTACCCTTTGGCCCCCGAGCAACCCCTCCCGATCGCCTACCAAGACTCTTGGCACGCACTAAAATGGGTTTTCTCTCACTCGGGCGGCAATGGCATTGACCGCGAGGCGTGGCTCGAGAAGTACGTCGATTTTGAGCAAGTTTATTTAGCGGGGGACGGCGCAGGCGCTAACATCGCGCACAACATGGCAATTCGGGTTGGGATTGACACGACAGACGGGATTAGGATAAACGGGATGTTTCTAAATTGCCCGTTTTTCTGGGGAGAGGAATTGGTCGGGAATGAAGGTAAGTGCCCTAAGAAGGTGGAGAGCATTTGGAAACACGCGTATCCGAACTCGACGGGTCTTGATGACCCGTCGTTGGACCCGGGAAAGGATTCGAATTTGTCGCGTCTCGGGTGCGAGAGGGTATTGGTTTACGTAGACGAGAAGGATATATTTCGGGATAGAGGGTTCTATTATGAGGAGGTTTTGAAGGGGAGTGGATGGGAAGGGAATGTTAGTGTTGTGGAGGTGAAGGGGGAAGATCACATCTTTAATATAAAATTTCCAGATGATCCAAAGGCTGGGGTTATGCTTGAGCAGTTGGCTTTGTTTCTGGATCAAGGCAGGGTTGGGGATGATGGTTTTAGCTCGAACACGGTTGGCCCGGCCTGGCCCACTCCGGCAGTGTCGGCCCAAATTCCACCGATCCCGAAATACAGTGGGGCCGGTATGAATCTGGGCCCAACGTTTGTGTTCTTATTTTTGTTTTTAGTATATGTGTCTTCTATACTTGATGCATATTGTAATGTGATTTGTGTGTGATTGAATTTGACTTTGGTTTTTTCTACTATTGTATATATATATATATATATAATTTATAGTAGCTGTTCTTTTCTGAACAATGTACATTAATCATAAAGGATTTTATGCATGTTGAATACTTGGGCGATATTATTGTTTATATAATTATAAATAACAGTTACATTTTATTTTAGTATGGGCGAATGATGGTATATTTTACTATTGTTGGAGCAGCATTTCTTTATGTTACCTAACAAATGCCAACCTCGATTATATTAGAAAGATTTTTTATTCGTATTTTTAGTTATTTTGTTGAAGGTTTTGTTAGTCAAACAGTTGTTATTTTGTGGAATGTCACTAATGGAGTTGAGCAGTTAGTCATCGGATGTCACGATCATCCGATGACTCCATAGAGTTTTTTTGGAGTTGGGAGCTAATCTCATCAGCATTAATGTATGGTAATTTTCAATCATAATAAATGTGTTCTGTCCATCACTTCTCTTTTTGAATGTTATTCAGACTCGGACTCTTTAGTACGCCTTCTACATTCCTTCTTGCCTATGAATTGAGTTTATATCGTGAGACTANTGAATTAAATAATAATAATTTTCTTTTGAAAGAAAGATATATTTTTGTGATTGTGAATATAATTGAGATAATGATTAAAATTGATATGATAAAAACTTATAAAATAATAACTATAAATGATTATTAGTTAGAATTATGTAAGTGAATAAATAGACAATTTTGTTGAAATATGTAGTGCCGATGATTTTAATTATTAATTATGTCAACAATATTGGAGAGAAAAAATGAGAGTAGATAAAAAATTATATATATTTTCTACAATAAAATATATACAAATTTAGATCCATGGAAAGAATTTATCCAGTTAAAACTCAAAAACACTTATGTCCAATCACTAATCTATCTGAGAAATCATTTGAGATTGAATCCATCTTTCATTTATTTAGGAATTTATTAACATCACAACTTAATTCATACTTTGTTACAAATTTCACACTGCTATAAATAAGAAAATAAAAAAGAAAAGCTAGGAATTCATAAGGCAGAAGGTATTGCAACTGAAGAAGTCTAATAATTAAAAGAAGTACAACTTCTGGATATTCTAGTCAAAACTATTTTTGAAAAAAGGAAGCTTTATGAAGATTATAAATAAGAATTTCACACTTTGAGAGAAATAACATATTTTACTGTCCAAACTACTTATAAAACCAAAAGTACGATTCGTGGATAAAGTATGTTTCTCATTTTTTTATAATACCAAATTCTAGTCGATTAACCCTATCGAACATGATGAGAATATTTCTTATAAGAAAGAAGGAAAAATAAAATAAGCATGATGAAAATTAGGTGGTTGAAGACTTATAACTTAAATGCAGAAAGGATTATTTGAGATTTTTGCAGGCCATAATCATGACTCAAACCTAGCTTAGTTACTGCAACTTTGTCATATATTCTTGGTGCCTTTGCAAAGTGATAAAAGCTTTCAATGAACAATACTTGCTATAATTATATTTAGAAACAATAATTGACGCTAAAATAGTTTCCTTTTTGGACTAAATTAGTCACTATAATTATATAAATTTACCGGCGGGCATGATAACCCTTTTACTTCATTTATTCCTAATAAGATGGGATCTGTTTGCTAATGTCCCGTATGAATAACCAAATAGAGAGAGAGGAGAAAGAAAAAAATATGTGCATTTATATATTCCACTAATAAAATTTTGGCCAAAATTTTGAACCTTCATACTTCCATCCTTGAACCTTCATATTTTAATGTCTAAACTGGAATTTCCTAGACTTAGCTTGATTCGACTTTTATCAAGAAAACATGTCCACTAGTATAACATTTTGCATCCCAATGTTGCTATATATGTTCTAAAATGTGCATGTCATATATTATTAGAAACGAGCCACAACTTAAAGATGAATTATTATGATACTTGGAAGTAGAAATACCTCGTGAGAAGTCGAATAGCATCCTCACTCAAACTCTCTCCACTTGAAGCCTTTGCAATTACACCATTTAACACCCTTTACGTTCACAGAGCTTGAGAACTCAATTATTTCTGGGTGAACCAAAATCAAGAATGAGGGAAACAAGTTGATCCAACTAAGAAACAAAACCTGCTTAAAAATAATATGAAAGCACACAAAAGTTATCGACTGCTCGTTCCAAAATATGAAAAATAGCTTTTCCAAAAATCTCAGCCTTGACGATAGGTAGTAAAGAACAGTCCAGAATCACACCAACGAATACCCTAATAATGCTGTAATTATAGCAAATCTAGTGTTTCTAAGAAGCAAATGGCTGATCAGCACACTGTAAGAAAGCATTTAGCAAAATTATAAAGACTCACTTTCTTCTGCAAGAGCGGTAGATCCGATAATGTTCTTTCCTTCATCACTGACCTCTTCTTAACTCTTGAAAGTTTTCTCGCACATTATCACACAAGGAGCTTTGACTTTGAGTACAATTCCCTAAAGTTGCATTAAAATCAATGCCTAGTAGGAAGTGCAAAAAATAGAAAATCCGATCGGATGATGCTTGTGGTTTCTAAAGGAAGTGACATCCAGAATCTCATACAAGGTGAACATGAAGACAAGTTGTACAAGAGTGAGTTTTATACATTCATCATATATACAAATATGCTAGTCTCACAGAAAAATAACTTCGAACCTAGTACTATCCACATCACTGGCTGAAAATTGAAATCTCATCCCCTAATAATATTCATGAAGAGATTTAATCTCACAAGTTAGGAACTCATGGGGGGCTCAATGTACAAAGGTTATCTACACATACACCACTTCAAATCAGCCTTAACTTACTTCAGCTTAAAGTTGTATGCATTGCATGTCATAATCCCCAATAATTTGGTTCTCGGCTGGATATCCGTCAAAATTACCCTATTGTATAGTCCGAAATACCATGGTCCTCAAAACTTCCCTCCAATTTTCAGCGGCAAAAATTTCCAGCTTAGTTTCACGCACATTCTTCTGCCATGCAAATTATACACCGTCTTCTTATAGTCTTGATTTAAGTTTAATGCCTCTAAACGGTGACCTCTTGCAAACAGAAGCAAACGGCTCCCCATTCAAAGACCCGGAGAATTTAATATCCCATCCCTCAACATTTTTTGGTACACACGCATCAAAAAGTGTTTGGCCGAGAACACTATTTGCACCCATACAAGGAGGACTTGAACGATTAGGTGACGTCTCTTTTCTTTCTTGTTGTACAGACCCATATTCTTTGTTGTTTTGGTAATATGTTGAGCTTGGTAGGAAAAAGTGATCGTTTGGCCCGACAGCGACTCTTCTGAAGCTCTGATTCGAGTCCACTGCCGCATTCTGGAGATCACATATCAAATTGGAAATTTTATCCTGCATGTCGTCCATGTAAGACTTCTCCCCGAGATTCTGTATTTTCTTCGAGAAAATTGAAGTAGCCTGCTCAAGAAACTCGGTTATAGCAGTTGTATACTGTATTGATTGATGCTTGATAAGACCTGTCGTAGGCAAATAGAATGAGCAAGTTGGGATTAGGATGTGAACGAAAATATGCACTAATTGTAGCAATTAGCAGCAGGAGAAAAGCATTATGTCTCTCATTTGAAATAAAAAGGGAAGGAAGCAACACCAATTGCTGTCATATTTAGAACTAAAATGACTTCAAAACTCTAAGAATAGAGAGAACTTAGGCCTAACCTGCACTACACGTCACAACTTTTACATAACCGCCTAAATCCTGTAAACGCTGAGCAAAGTTGGTCGAGGTTGAAAGTGGAGCCACCTCATCATTTTCCGAGCATAAAATAAGAAAGGGGGCACCTAAACCCTGCATATGACACACACAAATGAATTGAATGCTAGAATGCTAAAATGCTCAGACAGATGTGATATAACTTAAAGAAAAAAGAACAGTGTTAATTTGATAAGAAAACAGCATGCCACTTTTGAAACTTACAACTGAGGAATAAAGGGTTTGCCAGTAATCTGCACGTTGGGATCCAAATCTGGTGATAAATAGAGCATCCAAGCTTGAGGTGACACCTTTAGAAAACAACGAAATCAGCTTTGATGATCCCGGAAATTTGAGGATAGAGCGGTGCAGAGAAAACCGGGCACCCAAATCAGAAGTAAATTCAATAGGATCAGAATCATAAATCTGCCCTGAGATGCAACTGACAAGTAACCTATTGTCCTCCTAGGAGACACAAATGTCATTAGTGCCATGTGTTCATTTAATTATGACAATGATTAATTTATTGAAGTATAAGGATAAATTTACCAGACAGAGCTCCAAATCTGAACATCCTTGTACGATCTGCACAATATAAAAGTTAGTTAACTCTATTAGTAGACTGGTCTAAAGAGCATAACTGAAACATCAGGTACCTCAGATAAATGGATTTTCAGAAACATAATGCACGGAGTAGTTATGTCATATGTAATGTGTGTAAACTGAGGTCACCTCAAATAGATTGATTTACCTGGAGAACCTTATACATGCAGGCTTTTGAACCACCAGAAAAGGATAACAGTACTACAGGGCATAATCCACATCTGAGCTCCTACACATACAGAACACGGAATATTAAGCAAAAGAGCAACAGATACTGGCAATAGACTGCTAACCAGTAAAATCTATTTAACTTTAATCAGACATATTATAAAAGCAGCTATCACCAGTAAAATCTTTATCAAATATTAGAAATGACATTGAAATTCCCAAAATCGCAGAAAGAGAGATAATGATCATACTTTGTAGAATTCATGTTTTCTAAGGCTGGGGCACAGTGAAAAAACCATGGAGGAAATAACATTATTGAAAAGGTGATTAATCAAATCACTATTGTTCAGCTAGCTACCATTTTCACACAAAATAAGCATGTTAAGAAGTCAAACCTTGACAAGCTCACCAATGACAGAAAAGGCAAGTGATGTAGCTCTCTCGGAAATGAACCTGAGAAATAAAAAAACCACTAATATTCTTAACCATGAAAAGAAACAGGTTAAGAGGCAAATCCAAATAAAATATCATAAAAGATAGGCATGCATATTAGTCATATTGGCACATCCATTGCATCACAATTCACATGGTTTTACTTGGAAGCTCACTCTCATATAACTGTAGTAACTGTTAACTAATTCGATTTAAGCATGCACAATTATTCCAAATCTACAATGATCAGAACCTATTTCACCATTTTCTCCTGTCCAACATGCAACAACTCTATTGCTGGCGAGTTCGGCCCAGAATGCACTTTTTTCATCCACAACAATGCAACAACCTTGATACTTAAAATTGTCAAAAACTGGCACTACCTTATGTTGTTTTCATTGATAAATACAACTAAACTTTTCATCTATATCTAGACTCACTAGAACATTTAACTAAAAACTGTGTACAACCAAAATATCAAGCATGAGCCAAATCAACAACAATGTATCTGAAATTCAGAAGTATGAGCTACAAGTATCCATTTCACTCCTTCTCATCTCAAATCCACAACGATTACCAATTATTCCCCTATTTTCTCCTATCAACATGCAATACCTCTCCTGTTTGCAACTTCGATCCCAATAAGCACTCTTTCCATCCACAACAATCCAACGGCCTTGAGTCTTAAAATCTTCTTAAACAGGTAATTTTCTGTACTGCTGCAGTATATACTATATACACACACACTTCAAATCTGCTCCTACTCTGGACACACCAACACGCATTCAGAATCATCACACAGAATCCCAAAACAACTTCAATTAGCTAAAATCCTCAACTAAAGTTTGGCTAACTATCTATTTAGCTCCAACAACCAAAAAAAATTTAAGAAATAAGAATCAGAAGAAGAACAAGGATAAACACACGTTAAGAGTATAAGGAGATTACGGATTAAGATAATCGGCGCGGCAAACGAGAGAATTCCATCCGAGCGAAGAGTAGAAATCGGTGAAATCCTTCAATTGAGCATCGCTAATCGAAATCCACGCGAAAACCACCACTATTCCCTTCGCCTGGAACTTCTCCCCGCGATTTCGCGCCCAATAAAATCTCCCGCCACTGCTCATATCCGCCGGAGGCACGATTTGGACTTGATTTTGCAGGCACTTTTTGAAATAATGGCTGAAGAAGGAAGGTTTAGCAGATGGGCCGTCAGCTGAAAAGTGGTGTGTGAAAAAACGAGGAGAGAGAAAGAGATGGAAAATGATTGAGTTATTGGTCGTGGATAGCCGAGCAGGATAGCGAATGCGACAGCTCAGACGATGAGCACCTCGGCGCATTTTAGGGTATATTCAAATGCTATCCTACGCCAAACCTAAGCTGTTCAAAACGATAGGAAGTTATGTTCACTCTTTCGAATGAGCCAAAGTAGAAAATACATATTCGAAAAGTTAGTTGTATTTTTTTTAAT